TCTCTCTCTCTCTCTCTCTCTCTCTCTCTCTCTCAAGGTTGTTGAGAGAGCCTGGCGTGAGTTGGCAGAGCACGCCAAGACGCCTGGCGCAAATTAGCTTGTACCGCCAACGCGCGTAGCGCCCCCCCCCCCCCTTTCCCCCCTCCGGGGTGTGGTGGTTTGTAGCAGACGGACAATCGGCTAACTAACCGCCTATCTGTCCCATTCAATTAATCGTGTGGGCGGCCATTGGTCCAATCAGCCCAGCCGCATCGGGCAGATGTGCAGCTGGGCAGATGGGCCGCGGCAGCTGCGGTGTGTGGGTGGGTGAGGGCGGGGGGTCCTCTGTCCGTCCCACCCCTCACCTCACCCCCCTCCCCATCTCTCTCCCTCTCCCTCTCTCTCTCTTTCTCTCTCTCTCTCCCTCTCTCTCCCTCTCTCTCCCTCTACCCCCCGCACGCCACTCTCCGTTCTCCCCCGTCCCCAACACTGACGATCCTGATGCGCGGATCATGAAGTCGGTTATGACAAATTAATTTCAGCAGTTCTCTGGTGGTCATGTGTGTCAGTGTGTGTGGGCGTTCCTGTCGTACTCCGTTTGTCCGTCATGATGGTGGAAGCGCGTCATACGTCATCCTGATGTTATTGCGCATTTTCGAGGGCCGGGATAGGGTAAGCGGTTTATCTACACTTTATGCCAAAGTGCGCCCGGCCCGGCCGGCCCGGCCAGGATGTACCGGGATGGCGTCCGGCCGGGCGCGGGCTCAGGTGGCTATCGCCGGCTATCGCTCGATATTGTTCAATCGTTGGATAAGTGCCGCCAGCTGATGGCGTGTCCCATTTCCCCGCCATTCCATGCGAGGGCTGCTGCGCGGTGCACACGTCCACGAGCACCCGTCCTGGTCGCTGGAGCATCTGCCGGACCTCTCCCCGTGCGGGCGGCCGCCCGGGCGGACGGCACAGTTTGCAGGCGATTGACTGCTGCCGGGGTGCGATACATCAGCAATATGTGTTATCGGCTACCCTTCCCCCACCCCCTCTCCACCGCTGCCGGCCGGCCGGGACTACCCCTTCCCCCCACTCACTCCCTCGGCTCCCACCATCCTCCAGCCGCTAAAGCGTGCCCACTAGAAGACCCGCACGGTCGCAAACCCTTCGGAAACCGAAACCTATCCTCATCCAAACTATGACATAGCGAAAATGATCCTATTAATTTGGTACTAGATGAACCCATCATTTTTTTGCCGGTGGTGGTTATCGTTTTACGTGTTGTTCGTGGAGTCCTAGGGTTGTACGTGTACACTGTAAGGGTTCACGGCCCTCGAAATGTGCTACCCAGTCGCACAGCTGCTTCATGATGACATATCGGGTACAGGGGAGAGGGGAGGCTACTCAAACTACCATCAGGTACATGAGGTGTCAGGTTTTCACCAACAGGACACTACCGCTTACTTTGACTCGGCCTGGTCAGTGCCTTGTAGCACAGTAATCTAAACAGGACATGGATCTTACCACTATGGTCTTGCAAGTTAAGTCCCACAGTTGCGGGCAACCCTAAATTACAGTGCAGACTCCTTCCCCACCATCTTACTTTGCGCCTCATGGGGCTGATCGATTACCGACAGTGCTCCTATAAACAAGAGTGCCTAGGCTGCCAACATTAATGATATTCATAAGAAGAAGCTCGATGTGTGCCGAAAAGAAGAGGGGGCAAGACAGGCGGTAAAGGGTCATAAAATGTTAAGCGATCGATCTGATCTGTAAGGAGAGAATGCTGGTGGTGCCTGTGCACTGAAGAGCAGGGGAAGGGGTTCGTGTGCGCACACGACGACCAGGGGACCAAGAATTTTAACGAGGAACCAGGAAGAAACACAGACACACACAAACACTCAACTGTCTATAAGGTACTTGCAAACGGGATCACTCGCAGAGGACAACACGAGGAAACTCTGTCCACTCAAATGCGTACATTGTCTACATTTAAGGAAGTAGACATTCTGTACATTGTCTACATTAAACAAAGTCAAACAAGTATAAGGTCATCTCTCCAGTAAAGAAAGTAGGCGTACCATTACATTGAATATTTTCCCAAATTTTGCCAATGTGACCGTAAAAATATTTTTTGAGGAGGTGCTATGAAGGGTCAAATAACTGTTCAATTTGCACTTCGTACAGTCGCAGTCGCATTGATAGATAATTAATTATTTTATAGCAATAACCGTAAGAGAAATGGTTGTTGTGCTGGGATGCGAATTAGAAAGGTATGAGGCCAGGACGAACAAATACCTAATGACCGTGTCCCGCTGTGGTCCCCTCCAATTAAACGCCGATTTAGTGTTGGGGTGACTCAAAAAATAAAAATGAGGTAGAAGCGGGAGGAGAGGATTCCAAGAATCGAAGAGGTGGAGAAGGGGCAAGAGGCAGAAGGGTCGGGGAGAGGTCCGGTGTAGCGGAGCAGGGCGGAGCAGATGTCCCTGTTGGGTCGGAGAGTCGCTGCTACCGAGTTAGCACACGGGAGATTAATTTTATTCCCCATCCTCTGATTAACACATTCCAATCGCTGGTGTAGGTCGGGGTGCCCGATGTCACCTCCACCCAACAGTTGCCCTACCCCCACCCCCCGCAACCCACCGCAACCAAATCGACCTTCTTCTGAATTCTTCTGTCGAACCGTTCTGTTGTCCATAGTTGTCATTGTGCATGCAAAACCGACAAAACGTATTTATTTCAGAAACTTTTCATATAGGAATAGATAATAACTGAAAAATTTTCGTTCACAAGTTTGATTAAATGCAGTGCCGTATAATTTTTTTCTTTTAATTTCTTGCTCTTGTTGTGTACCATATTTTCAACTCGTTCCCCTTAAACCAATCAAATCTCTGTTACTGGAATGGATTCTGCGTATGATGTAGGGTTGCGACGGCTGGTAATGTTACCGGTAACGTTACCGGAAAAAT